TAGCATGTCTTCAATTTCCTTTTCAGCTATGTTTGTGTCCTTTTAGCCCCATCTGGTGGAATGGGCGTTGAAGTCTTCTAATACTGTAGTTTTGTGTGGGATGTTCAGAAAGTCAAAGTTGGGACAATCCTGGGGTGGATTACAGACTGCATATACCTTGAAGTGTTTTTGACATTATCAAACATTAATCTGATTATTTCACATATGCCTTGTGTCGAGCCCATACTCTTGATTAGATCGTAGTGTGAGGTGAGGCCCTCTTTTACTCCAGTTAGAATTCCACTAGCAACTTGCCGGTATTTAGGTAGATTGTACAGGGTGTAACCTGGGAACTCGTAGTGCTTCAGTTTTTCATCCGAAATGTTTGCTTCCATAATTGTGAATATGTCTACATCATAGGTTTGTAGGATTTTCTGTACTTGGATCTTTTTGTCCTGTGACATCCCTCCAGCATTCCACTGGAGGACCTGAAGACGTTGTAATTTGCTCTGACGAGGGCAAATTCTCTTATAGCCTTTTTTCAAGCTAATCATAATAAATCAAAGTCGAATCAAATCAAATGCCGAGTGATAGACTTTTTTGCCGTACGAAGATACGTTGTCCAGAGTGCACCACGTGGAGGTAAGTTTATCGCGCACCCAATAAAATGAAAATCGTCTTCTCGTTACTGACTTCATGCACATTCCAGAGTTTTATATGTAAATCTGCTATGGCCAAGGAAGTTGAATATCTTTAATTATTTAATTTCAATTTTGCATGACAATCTTCATGATATCCTGATTGACATATTATCGTTGATACAAGGGCAAAATTAAATGAACATTGAATTCTGGACCTTTAATAGCACTCCAACTCAGTCTAATGCAGAGGATATACTGTATCAATTATTGAAAATAAACCAATGCACATAAACTATCAAATAAAAGAAATTACAATAAGTAGAAGATAACGAATTAATTAATCTAATTAAGGAATACCATTTATGCTAAACATGCACCCTCCTTTATTGAATCCTTTGCTGAATGAGACTAAAGAGGAAGTGGAATGTGGAACGCCGTGTCCCAACACCCTCACCCTCACCCCCACCCCCACCCTCCCTCGCTCCTTCTCGAAACGAGAAGGGGGGTACTTCTGAGAAGATGGCGACAATTGTAGTCATGTTAAACTTCAAAATGCTCAAGGAGACTTTGGAGGGTGTTCACACAAAACGGAAGAAGTACGGTAGAGAAAATTGGTTAGTGGACACTTGACGCCATATTGAATGCACGTCATGAAGCATAAAGCCAGTTAAACCGTAACAAT